TTTTCCGATAACATTCGTAACTACGACGAGAAGCTTGAGCTCAATGTGGACGAACTTCTCGGTGTTCCGGAAGATTACCTTGCTTCGCATCCGGCCAATTTGATGACTGGCAGAGTAATTTTAGAGGCTAAAGATGCGCATATGGGTCCAGTGAGCGAATACTGTCAAATTCAAAAGACTCGAGAAAAGGTTTACCGCTTTCAAAGTAGAACCGCCGAGGCAACGAATGGACCGCTACTTGTGAAACTCCTTAATCTAAGAGCTCGAAAGGCAGATTTGCTAGGTTATCAGAATTGGGCTGAATGTCAGCTGCAGAATACCATGGCTAAATCAGTCGCCAATGTCACTGCTTTCCTCGAAGATGCATACGAAGCCATCAGACCGATAGCGGAACGGGAGAAAGAGCAAATCATAGAAGCGTTGAAACAAAAAGAAGGAGTGGTCGCTCAGCCTTGGGACATGAAGTACGGACTAGCATTGCTGAAAAATTATCAACTTGGAGGCTTTGATATTAAATCAACCCGCCAGTACTTTCAGATGTCTCGAGTACTTCCCGCACTTCTCCACCTCGTTGAAGTGCTTTTTAGTCTGTCTCTGGACATGGTAGAAGAGACCGAGCTCTGGCATTCGTCTGTGTCAATGTGCAGAGCTTACGACGTTTCCCAAGGCAAAAGAACGCTTATCGGCCGCCTATTTTTTGACTTATATCCTCGTACGGGGAAGCTGGATGGAGCCTCCGCTTGGTGTATTAGAGCCCCCAGAACCAACGAACAACTAGGTGAATGCATATTGATTGCGAACCTATCCGAAGGCCCTGCCGCGTGCATGTCATACCGAGACATCCAAACTCTTTTGCATGAATTAGGACACTGTGTTCATGCGTTAATAGCGCCGCATAGGTTCGTGCGTTTCGGGGGATACGGATCCTGTCCGTGGGACTTCATCGAATCACCGAGCCAAATGCTGGAGTTATGGCTCACAGATTACAGGCTTTTCCACTTTGCAACTGCCGCCAACGGTGATGTCATTCCACAGCACGTCCTAAAACAGTTATTATCTGGGGATGCAATTGGAAGGGGCTTGCGCTGCAGGTACCAAATGGTTATCGCCAAATATGCCGTAGGTTAACTTACGCCACTCGTCTTTTGTGGAGCTTGCTAACTCCGTAATTATAGCTGGACTTACATACTGCCACCTATAATAACGAAACCGAAATCCTTGATCTGGTTCTCGCGACCCACAGGAAGTACGGGACTTTCGAACCCGATCGAGGTATGAAAACGCACTTGTCGTTATGGCATCTGGGAATGAGCGAATATGCCGGTCGATTATACTCTTATCTTTTCGGCAAAGTCATTTGTCATGATCTCTTCAATGAGTTTCAGAAAGGAGGGAATATCATGGATCCGAATGTAGCCAAACGTTATCGAACCTTAGTTCTGGAAAAGGTCGGGTCTCAAGACGCAGACGACTCGGTTTCAGGTTTCCTCGGTCGAAAGTATAACTCGAAAGCGTTTCAAGACTGGCTCAATGGAGCTAGCTAGGTTAACCCAAGATTGACAGCCGTGAGATGCATCTGCATGACCTTGTGTGCGGTATCTACCGATGGCCTCGCGCTCCTGTCAAAGATAGTCATGGTCGCCTTAGTGTAGGTATTGGACGCTATTGTAATATCAGCCTAGAACACAAAACAAAAGTACAAAATCTCGTATATGGTGCAGAGAGATACCGCGACTTCCCGTCACAAAGAACGTTTTCCTGTCATCTCCCTGTTAGATTCAGAGATAAAACGTCTGATAAGTATATATAGCTACAATACATTTAGTAGCTACTTACCTGTTAGATTCAGAGATAAAACGTCTGATCTAACAGGTGTTGTCGCCAAAGATATAAGGATGAATCCAGCTAACTATATATATTATTGCAGAGTGTCACAGAGTCCAGTATCCTGTGAAGTTCTGCATCTTAACCGTAAGAAAAGCGCTGCTCAAGCGCTTCCCAGTGACGTGGTACTTAAAGTCGTTCGACTTCCGACACTCCCAACATTCTCACTAGCGTTCGCTCCAATTTGTTACGACATCTACAGCTTTCCATATGCATCGCCCATCGTTACTTCTTGCCAAAGATGACTTGAGGAAAAAACGATGGGCTCATCCTGCAACTCCCATGGCAGCGGGTCCTTCAACAGGTTCGGTTCTCACCCTGTCCAGGAATTCTCCTACGCTTCAGGTGAATGTTCAAGTGCTCAACAGAAATAGTGCTCGAGCTTGGAGTGGTCAATATTTGCGCAAGAAACAATGATCCTTACACTACATCCAACCCATCTCTGGGCTGACAGCGGCCCGTCAGCGACAAATCACACGACCTGTCCACAAACGACGCAACGTTCCGAATGTCCGGATTTCGATCATGGTGGACAGTGTTCTTTGGTAGAGTAAAGTTTGACCCTTGTTGTCGTTATATATAGTTGTTGCATCTGGTTGAGGGGAGCCTACATCCTCAAGCAACGTGCGAAGCCATATTGCTTGTTTTTCCGCGTTGGCAGATGCTAAGTAAGCAGCTTCGGCAGTTAAAAGAGAAACAGTCGATTGACGCCGCGCTCCCTAAGAGGTGACGCCTTGGAAGAGATTGAAAACATAGCCAGCAGTCGACGGTTTTGTGTTTTCACAACCTCCCCAATCCTCGTCTCCAAAGCCTAGAAGGTTTCGTTTCCCGGCTTTGAAGTCGAAAGTGAAGCAAAGATTTGAGGTACTTCGCAAATGTCTCAGCAGGTGTTTGGATGCTGTGTAATGATGTGACGACCATCGACTGATTGGTGTTTCGTTGCGCCGAAGGCACACTGTTAACGCCACTCCCTGCCAATCAACTTCTACATTTACTTTTGGAAGTGCTTTTGCTATCAAGTATCACAGGCGCCTGGCTACAGTTACATATGTCTCGAATGCAGGATCAATTGCGACTACAGGCAAATGCCAGCCCAAATGCATTCTTCGTCTCCGGTCCGATTTAATGCGATTTTCTGGGCCGACACGTTCTCCCATTCTGTAGGGATAGCCGTGACGATATCGTTTCGGGTCTGTACTCAGGTGAGAACTTTCGAATGCGAGCGGTCCCTTGAATTGATTTAGTTCTGCTTGGCTAGTTGTTGTGCACTTCTCATTCAGCAATTCAAATGTCAAGATATCCTGGAGCATGGCTGGGGAGCCATTGTGGACAGTCGCGAGGTGGGAAGGGGTAGGGCACGTACAGAGGATCCAGACCCTTGTGGTGAAACGGATGGGATGCTTACCGGCGTGCGCGTGCTTCGGTAGTTGATGAACGGGGCACGTAAATGTAAGATCCGGGGAAGGTAAGAGAATGGCAGAGAAGCAGGCATGGAGCCAGGCATACAATAGGAGGTCAGTGATTGACGTCAATTCCAACAAACGCGTCGCGAGTTTAGGCTCCCACGCCATGCGACAACACGTTGGACAGATCAAAGCGCTCCAAGCAGCCAACCGACGTGGGGGAAGGCAAAAGGTTCGTTCATAGTCAAGGGAGGGCGGCTGGGGGGATCTTGCGAGATCTTCCGTAGGAGTCGTCAGACGTCCACAGGAAATTGCTGTTGGGGTAAGCATGGCCCTTCGTTCGTCCTCTCCAACACAGGCGTGCCATACGTTATACCTTCCCCGCCACCTCCTTCGGTCACGTCCCGCCCCTTGCTTGACGTACCACAGTCGACACAGACTCTCCGAATTCGGGATATGACTATACTACATCCGATGAGCAAAGACTATATAAAGACGCAGTGGATATTCCCTATCGTTCTGGGGCAACCAAATTCAACAATGCGATGCTTCTCGCTATCCTGAACCTTGTTAGCAAGCACACTATGAAAGCGGCATTCATCAAAAATGCAAACACAGGTATAGATCCTCTCAATCCCGACATCATTCTCGTCGTGCATACCCGTGTTTCCGAAACATCGTCACTGTGTGGAACCACCACCACCATCACAGTCTATGCCCTTTGCTCTTTATTTATCACTCACTGTTGTCTTCAACCGATTTAAGAGCCACAGATCAGCTGGGAGTATATATAGACGGGTGTGCGATAAATCCCCTGAGATGTTTGTCCACCAGTTATCAGATCCATTACGGTCTACTGAACACATTGTGGCGCATCGGCGTCTCAACAGTTCTTACCAAGATGACTAAGGATATGCCGCCAACAGGTGAAGTGCTCCCTCCGTGCCGACCAGTAAGACGTTTACCATGATGATAAAATTAGATGTCTCGAATAGGGGAGTGTGTACGAGAGGAAGAGAATCGGGCACGTTTGAACGACAGTAATCGAACAGGTCGTGTCCCCTCAGACAGACCCGAAGACGAAGATCATGACGTTTCCGGAGTGGAAGGTGTAGACGCTGATGAAGGTGAACAAGGGATTGGCGATGCCTCTCAAACTGCGTTCGGCGGTGCAAACTTAAACCCAGGTTACCGCTTATCTCTTGCTTCTCCTGTTATAGCTCTCCCAAGTCCCGAACCGAATTTCCCCTCTTTAACCATTGACCCTTTCAGATATGTAACGAGGTATGTCGATTGCACGTTGCGCTGAGCTGTGTTAGAGTTCTGAGCTTTTGTGGGGGAGGGGGACACTTGCAAGTCGGTCACATTGATGAGCACTGACTGTTGGGGCTCTGAATAATGCCATGCTCCACTACAGTATGTTGTATCACTGCAAAGGACGTTGGTGCAGCTGAGACAAAATGATGTTTCTGTCAAGTGTATCAATACACGTCATTGCGACGCTCCTCAGATGTCCACCAACAACCCTATTCTTCTAGCAATCCTCCTTCGAAAGAGTCAAAGGGTCTAGAGTCCTATTCAGGGGATGCATATCCTCAAAGGGTCCTTTGCTCTTTCTTTTGCTGATCCCTGTTTAAGCCTAGCCACGATCAATCACATTGGTTGATTGTAACATTGATTCTCATAATCAAGTATACCTCTAAATTATACTCGTCTTTCGTGGTGTAATGGTAACATTGGCGCTTGTCATTCAACGAGCCGCGCCCGCCCCGAGTTCGATTCTCGGCGAGAGAGTTTTCTTTTTGTCTTTTTCTTCTTTTTAATGCCACCAAATTCTCTTCCTGCTTGGGCACTTGATTGCTTAACCAGAGTGTACGTCTTAATCTATGGACCCCATGACGTTGTAGGAAGTCAATCCCACTGTAACGGTACCGAGGGAGGGATTCAGCTTAAGAAAACTTGATAGCAATGTAGCAACGGAAAGCCGTGCCCGCACAAAGCAAGCCGCTAGCAGCAGAAAAAACTCGGACGCCAAATGTGGGCCGGCAAAGGTACATGTGAAAGCGATTAAAATAATCAATAACTCAGGTTCTTTCAATAACGATGACTTTGTGATACCAGATCGGATGGTAAAAGGGGTTGATATACTGCTAGCAACGCAGTGAAGGTACGAGGTTTTACCGCAGTATGGTACTCTTGTTCGAGCACCACTCTAGTGGTGCACATATAGTACTAGTATAGTGTAAGTGCCTGGCCTACGGTTTATAAAAGAGATGCAACTTGTTACAATAAGAAACGAGATGTACAGGTTCTTGCTTATTGATTTATGTAGCCAAGGTTGCTTAACTAATCCTAGCGGATCGGAGCTACGCAGCAGTTTGGTAATACTCATCTGTCTCAGCGACTTATAGCCTATCACTCTACTAAGTGTTTGATTATGTGAAATCGGGACTCCGTATACTGATACTATAATCATTGCACTGATTACTGAAGCCAATATTGCGTGTCATTTTTAGCTGAATGTACAAAGGAGTAGCGAACGAACACTCATTTTATATAGTTATTTAGCTAGCAATGAACTATGACTGACTAGTCAAATTATGTAACAACTGAGCAAGAGTCACTATATGAACAGTGTTCGATTACCGGGCACGAAAAGATCGGTGATCAGCATACCTGATGTCACTACATATCGATCATGGCCTATGACATAGGGTACATATGCCCAAATATCTAGCATGAATGACTCCAGTCAGCACCAGTATCACCTGATTTCATCTCTTCACCTGGTGTGATCTTTGCTTTGTCGGCTCATACCGATGTCTGATAAGCCCGTGGTGGGCTGACACCAAAAGTGTCAGCTATCCCTCATCAATTATTCCGTCACTTACAATTCGCGCGCCGCGCGTTATACAATTCTATATCAAAGTGAGGGATATCTCTGGCGACCCTAATTACCGTCCTTCTCCGTCTAATATTATATAGCGAGCTTTCAGACTCGATTTCCCTTCGTCTGGTAATCCATCAAGATCATAGGTCGACACTATAGTCATGTGTCTTCTCCTTAGTTTAGTGGTTGAACCCCACCTCCTCGTCATCAGTCTTTGCCTTAGTCCTGTTCTCTCTTGAAACCCTTGTCACCTCCAAATTATGAGTGTTAGCTCAACAGCCTTCAATTCGTAACAATATACCAACAAGAGCCAGAACATATATCAGGTTTCTTCACTCACACATAAGCAATTATCTTCAACTGAGATTAACTGACCTTACCGAAGACCGAAATTCAATATACTAGTAGTCAGCGCGCGCTCGCGCCATCACTTGTCCCAGTACAAGCTGTTCTTTGGGTTGGATCACGTCCCCGATCCTAGGAAATAAACGCACCCTGTTTCTCCCTTGGGATCCGACCTTCCAGTGCCCTTGAAACCTTGACCTACATGGCCGCCTCGCCTCTACCAAATAGGTAAATATATGTAGATGCTCTTTTTACTTTTACAATTGTTTTCATGTTGATGATTCATCCTGTAATTTACCCTCAATAAAGAAGGTACCTTGAGTGCAAGACTTTCTCAAGATTAGCTAGCCTTCACCTTTCACCTTCGGTATTCGACTATCGTCTTACGTCATAAGCATTTAATAACGTTGTGCTAGTTGCCTCATACAACGGCAGTGCTGTCTAATGTACTTACGTAAAACAGGTCAGTCCCGTGTAACAACCAGTACGAGTACGGAAGTTCGAGTACTGTGAGCTACCCAGTCTTGGGACTGCTTGAAGTTTTGTATTACTTGTTCAGTGACCAGTTATACTGATGTCAAAGAAGAGGTTAGGAACAAGTGATTCGAGAACAATCACTGAGTTGTCGCAATACAAATGTCTTGACAAGGGGTAGAGTAAGTGATACTATGTTATCTACGACCAGCGGTAAGGCCGAGTCGATGTTAAGTCGGTGACTCGAGGTAATGAGGTTAAAAGGCAGAATACTAAGTTAGTATGCGGCTAGTGGCGCTTTTGAAGCTGATCCAGTACATAAGTCCTGACTGCGAATATTACAACAGGTTTGGACCGCTATATATACACGTTTGAATTGGCGGCGAATGTCAATTATTCCTAAGGAGCCCAGGAAGTCTCTAGGGCAGGTGATGTGTGGCACTGATGGCTGCATCTGTTGCGACGTCAGTCAAGCAATGGCGAGACGGACAAGGTAGGTGGCAGAACGGGCATAACTGGCATCGCTAGAGGAGCTCCTGTCATTCAAGTCAGGTGCAAAATTCCTCTCAGGCAATGTTCGCAGAGTTGGCAAGCTAGGCAAGCGGGGCAGACATGGTAAGCCAGGCAAGCTAGGCAGGCTCAGCAGAACGGGCCTTGTGATTCCGTTTGGTTAGTTAGGTGACGTGTACATAACGCAGTCAGCAGTCAGCATTGGTAAGCACTCGCGCGCTTAGTCACTAGTGAGTTGTCACTCGGTAGTGGCGAGATAGGTGAGTCACTTTAGCTTTCACTGCTAAGATACATTGGTTTCCATTTCCTTTCCGAAGTCCTGAGTCAATACAGTTCAAGTTACCGCTGTACATTTCGTATTGGGTTTTAGTTTTCAGCTATTGTACAACAAAGTACTCGAATTGATTCTAGAAGCTATTAGATACTTTTCCCGCGGTTCTCTTCCGTCTCCTACATCTCCTCTTCCTGCCAAACGCGGAATAGAGGGGCGATGGCAGCTAGGGGAGCCGGAAGGCCATATGCAGGTGGGCTGTGCATTGCGTCAGCCTCCTTACAATCACGAACATCTGCAATTGGAATTTGGGTGAAAGAGGACAGAACCCTGCCCAAGTCAGATGCTCTCGCACGTACTCACCGTCAAGAAACAGACGCTTGAAAACGTTACTTTCGACGTTCGACCCTTGTGGATGTGTCAGACTCATTCAATACTGATCGACACGACCCAAGCACAGTCTTCAATGGTAGATTCCTTAAGGCATGAGGCGAATTGAGCTGTCTGCTTACTGTTCGCCATTGAAGTTAGCCTCCTAAGGGTACCATGATAATAAGTGACATGGGCGGTTGTATGGGGGGGGGACGAAAAGCACATACAAGGAAACGAAAAGCCTATATGAACCTTATTCCACAGCTGTCGAGTGTACTTCAGTGGGTATCCTTGAGGTACAAGTACAAGCACAAGCACACGTACAAATACAAGCACGAATATTCGGAAAGTGAGGAAACTGTCTGAAGGACTGTACTACAGTGTACTCTCGGAAACACTGTTCACGTATATACGGCCGTCAAGGAAATTGATGGCCGCTGTCCACAAAAATGCAAACCTTCAATTGGGTCGCGACAATTGCAACATGTCAGTCCTCGATCTGGACAACAGAAATTGGATCAACTTCAGCGTCAAGAGCTGGACGAAGGCGACTTCAACGAGAAGGAGGTCGAGGATGACTTTGCGCGACCAAGCTCGAATGCAGACTGCTATCCGTTCGCTAGGTGACCGAGTCTGGCTTCTCGGTTGCAAGATAACTTCATACGTTGTAGTATGTGACTATGAATTCTATTATATTATCAAGCCAAATACCGCAGTACCGGTTCTTAATGGGGATTGGTCAAGCAGAGTGACGCTTCACAACTTGATTGTATTGTAGTTAGTAAATAGATGACAACTCAATGTAAGGTGTCTTCATGATTTCCAGCCCGTTTAAAGGCATGTCAATAAGGACAGCAGAGAAGAGGGGCCGCGAACGCTGCTTTGGTCCTGAGAAGCATGTTCCACGTCTAAGGGGTCGAAGAGGGCAGCCTTTCAGATCCATTATATATGTTGTATAGAAGGCGAGCAAGCATCAGAAGCCTGGTTAGCTCAGTCGGTAGAGCGTACGACTCTTAGCTTCTTTCGGAGATAGGCATCGTACGGTCGCGGGTTCGAGCCCCGCATCGGGTTGATCTTTTTGTCTCTGTTAGGTATGCTATTCTATTTTTAGCTTTCGTGCTTTGATCAATTGAAGGTTTTTTCTAAGCAACTCACACCAGCCTGATAGATGTTGGCTGGACTAGGGAGGGATGAAATGGGGTCCAAGTTCGCTTTGTTATGTCGCCACACTTCCGACGGTTCCCTATGTAACCCTGCATGCGGTACTGCGCGATGCTGGACAGAGAACTGGCGTCGTCTTCCGCCGCGGTGATTTTGGTTCTCGTACCCAAACAGCCAATCACGCGGCCTTAATTCGGGTCTACCCTTTACAGTTGTACTGACTGTATAGACTCTGTCGGAAGCAATAGAAGGCGCTTTGCCGGAGTGGTTAACGGGTGCCCCTGCTATTCAGACCTTCGGGTTCAGCACAGGGTATGGTCTCTGACCGCGTGTGTTCGAATCGCACAGGCGTCGCTGTTTTTTGCCTTTTGCCACAACACGTCCTTTCACCTCCCTTGACATCTGTTTTGTCAGTAGAAAGTAACGAGCCTACGTTGTTTCGAACCAGACGTACCTCTATTGATGATCAGAATTATTGTTGTGATGCAGCATTTTTAATCTTGGATTATACAACACGTTTCATCTATCACTTAGCAGGCGAAACCTAGAATGCACTGCTTGTCCTCAGGCCTTCTAGCTTTTTCAACACATCCCCAACGCTCTTGTCAAGATCGCCGGCGATGGCTTGCTGTCGACCGTATGGTAATGATGCAAACGCCTCGCAGAGATCACCGTCGATAACAGACTTGACCGGTGCGTAGTAGCTGCGGTATGACAAGTGATCCCGGCCAACAAGCGACACAGGTTCGCCTCGTAGATGCTATTCGTCAA